TACGTCACAATATGCTAAGGGACAAAGCCCAAGCGAAAACAATCAAAAAATACCAAAAATTCCAAAATTAGCAAAAACCCGAGCCCTGGGCCCACTTCTCGAAACTCAGAAATTTTCACATCATTGGACTCATTGTCTCCCCACGAGTTCATACATATCAAAAACACAAGAATCGGAGTTCAAATGACCCCTCAAGTCTTCAATTTAAGCTCTCTTAAACTCAAGCCCTAAACCTCCATTTTTAGTCCTTTAATTCCTTAAATTTCAGTTCCAATCCATGAAATATTACCATAGAAGTGTGTTTTAAGTCCAAAATACTTACCTCAACGAAGTCTCTTGGATTTCTCTCTTTAAAATCTCCCAAAGCTCCCAATTCCGAGTGCAAAAATGGTTAAACCCTTCAAAAATCGCGAAGAAAGAATTATATACATTTTGCCCAGGGGTTTTAGCATCTGCGACCCGTCCACCGCTTTTGCGATATCACATATGCGGTCAAACTATCCGCTTCTGCGGAATTTCACTTAACCAGCCAAACCGCATCTGCAGTTCACTAGCCGCATCTGTGACTCCGCAGGTGCGGTTCCCCTACCGCATCTGCGGTTACTGACCAGGCCTCTCGAATCCGCTTCTGCGGCTCCCTTTCCGCATCTACGATTCCACAGATGCGGCCCAACACTCCTCTTCTGTGGATCCTGACCCTCAGCCCATATCTTGCGTCTGCGGCCTTCTCCCTCGCACGTGCGGCACCGCACCTACGGTCCCCAAATCGCAGGTGCGGTAATACCAGAAGCAGCAATATCAGTTGCTGCAACCAAGTTCCAAATTCTTCGATAACCACCCGAAATGATCCCGGGGCCTCCGGGACCTCAACCAAAAGCACAAACATGACCCGATACCTTATTCAAACTTGTTCCAATCATAAAAACACCTCAAAAACATCAAATCTACCAAATCACATCGAATTCAAGCCTAAGTTTCTAAAATCTTCCGAAATACGCTTTTGATCAAAAACCCAACTAAACCACGTCCAAATGAGCTGAAATTTTGCACACACATCCAACATGACACAACGAAGCTACTACAACTCTCGGAATTCCATTCCGACCCCTATATCAAAATCTCGCATATCAACCAGAAATCGTCAAACTATCAATTTCGCCAATTCAAGCCTAAATCCACTATGGACCTCAAAAATCCATTCTGATCATGCTCCTAAGTTATAAATCACCTCCCGAAGCTAACCGAACCATCAGAACTCACGTCAGAGCTCTCTAACACATAAGTCAACATCCAGTTGACTTTTCCAACTTAAACCTTCTTAAAAGAGACAAAGTGTCTCAAATTTCACCAAATCCTCTCCGAACTCAATCTAATCAACCCGGTCACATAAAACACGGATAACGAAGCATAAAGAAGCAGAAATTAGGGAAATGGAGCGGTAACTCATGAGACGACTGGCCAGATCGTCACATTTACTAATGCAAAAGCAGCTACAGTAAATGAGAAATTTACTTATACAAAAATAGCCACAGTAAACCAGAAGTTTACTAATGCAAAAATTTGTGCCATCGTAAACTAGAAGTTTACTAATAGATAGCGCATGCTATGATAAACTTGAAGTTTTCATTTGCCATTTTTAAATGAGCTATTTGAGTTTTCAGATAAGCATATACTGAAGAACTAGAAGATTCTTCAAGAATTCTCTTATGTTGCTTGTTCTCTTAATAAATTGATTATACCAGCTAAAGTTGGGGCTAAGACCCCTGATTCTGATATATATAAAAGGTGAATATGGGCCCATTCACCTATCATGTGAACCGTTTATAGATGCATATATAAGATGGTTACATGTGTGTTTATTGTCAACTTGCAGTTTGGCATTTAAAATTGCTTTTCTCAACTAAGAGCAAAACTTTCAGATTATGAAATCAAGACAGTTCATTTTGATAATGTCGGTTTATATCCAAGTTGGTTTAGCATTGAATACCTCCTATTAATGGCTAAACCATTTCTTATGAGAACAAAGCTTCATGTGTTGGTCTAAGATTTTCTAAATTGCATATAGCAACACTTGTATGCATCAGACCAACAATATATGATAAGTCCTCCCCTCACAATTGGTTTAGGATCAGAAACCAAATATACTATCTTTTGATGTGTGGTATGATAACTAGGGATTTTGACGCATTTTATACTCATTCTTGCTTATGTTTTGATTAAAAATTCACACAAAATAGTCCCGAAAGGCTCACAAGTTGTGCTTGATTGCAGGTTTGCTCAACAAATTGACAACATGTCAAAGATCAACTCAAAAGGAGTGAAACTTGCACAAGTGCCAAAGACAAGACAAGCTCAGGCAAAACAGGCCTAGTGCGGCCGCACACCACTTTGTGCGGTCCGCACTAGGAGATTTAGAAAGCATGATTTCTAGGCTAAGAGGCAGTGCGACCGCACTAGGTTTTATAAGGTCCTCACTGAAGGTAATGCAGGCGCACTACCATTTTGTGCGGTCCGCAGAGTTGAGAATTAGAGAGGTGGCAAGTTGGAGCTTTCAAGCCAATGCAGTCCGCAGTCTATTTTGTGCGGACCACACTAGAAGCCTCCAGGCCGCAGTCCATTCTGTGCGGTCCGCGGAGCCAGAGTTCATAGAACCAGATCTTCAAGTTTAGAGCCCTAGTGCGGTCACACACCATTTTGTGCGGTCCGCACTAACCTCGTAGGGGCATTTTTGTCTAGATTTTTTAGCATAGTATAAATAGATTCTTTTTCCATTTTTAGGGTATCACATAGTTTTTAGAAGTAGTTGCGCTCGTGGGAACAACTCTTGTAGTTATTTTGGGCAATTTTATCTACTTTGCAACATTGAATCTTTATTTTTATCTTAGTAATTAATTAATATGAGTTTATATTCATCTATTTCTTGTTTTTCTTCTTTGAATATGAGTAGCTAGACCCCATAGATAGGGTTGTGACTCAACCCTAGTGTAGGCAATTGATGTGTCTTGTATTTTAGGGCTAAATTGACTATGGGTGTTTGATATTTGGGTCAATTTCATGGTTAATTGCTGAATTAGTGGTTGCAAACACTATTTTGTATTTAGTTGACTAGGGCTCTTCTTGAGAAAGAGAGCCTAAGTCTCTAAATTGATCCAACAAGGAATTGGGGCGTACTCAAGAGATTGATAACCCCAATTAAAGGGTTAAACCTCGAGAGAGTAATAGCCGACTTGAACCCTAAGTTGCTTGTTTAAATTTGCATACCCAGTTGGTCTTGACAAAGTCAATTTGGCAAAATCACTTGAACCACCGAGAGGTGTAGAGTGGGAAAAGTAGTGCAATGGTTATATCATACTCCACAATCATGTCAATTGTGCCTTAGACTCAAGTACCCGTCAATTGACTACCTAAGCGGATGTCACTACCCGAGTTCCCTTTAAACCATTTGAATTATCCTTTTAGCTTATCTCTTAGATTAATCTAGTTGCAATTATAATTTGTAGTTTGATAAAGTAAAATTATAAAGAAAACCCTAAAAATGATTAGAAGTGTAATTTGGAACACTTACGCAATCCTAAGCTAAATAGACACTCAATTCCACTTCTAGCTCTCTGTGGATATCGATCCCGACCCAAAATCGGGTAAAAGTTGCTCCGACCCTATCTTGCTACATAATTAGTAGTGTGGAGTAGGCTGCGATCATGGTATGTGATTAATTTATCTACCACAATGCACAAATATATGTTTCCCAAAAAAGATTGGGGATATATGTTAGTTTTTCTAACATTTGGGGGATGGAATAAAAGTTGAAAAATATGCTATATGAATCGAATTATCATTAATATGATCCTCACTTAGAAGATAATTCAAGAAAAATGCCAAAAGCATTTGCTGATCCAAAATTAAATATCATATTTCAGCCGTAAATACTCTTATTACAATTTAAAGTCCCTGGAGGATAAAGTTTACTGTACGCATGAAGCGTGGTAGACCAATCGGTTCCAAAGGTAACAATCCTTGAAAAATGATAAGGAGTTAATGATCAAAACGATCATAATGAAGAGGAAATGAGCTCTAGAAGAGCCCACAACATAACATTTCATGAAACTCCAGAAGAAGTTCAGGTACCTGAAAATAAAGAAAGTGATGAGATATCGACAAGTTATGTCGCTTGCGAACCGATACAAAATGATCTTTGTGAGCACGTGATTTTTGCCCTACATGAAAATAACTCCTAAAAATAGACTAAAATAATTTTTATTGATTTTAGGAATTTTTTCATTATTTATTTGCATTTCATGCATTTTTAATATTTTTTTTTAAAATCATAGTAAAAAATCCTAAAAATTATCGTTTTTACATATTTAACTTTTAGTCTTTTAAATTAGCATTTTTCTTTAGTTTTAAGTCAATTAGTTGTTTTAATGGCGGCAACCCTCTTGATTGATCAATGCGAGTGAACTATGCTTAGACGCTTCGTAAAACCGCACCGATCTACGAGAGGAGCTGATAGATGAGTAGGCTTCCCCTTTCGATTCACGGAATGTGATATGGGACACGATGGGAGTTTGCGCGTGATTGATTCCAGACAGGTCTCTCGAGCCTTCTTTCTCGCCCTCATCTATTTTATCCTCTACAGCTGTAGCTACGTGGAAGCCAGCTGCTTAAAGACAGCCCCCCTAACCATTCCGCTATTCCTGTCCTAAAGCAAGGAAATCCGCTCTGACCCACCACCCTGGTAGGAATTGCCAGATTTACAATTTCTGAATCCTTTAATAATAAATAAAGAATTTTAATTTCTACAAAATATCTTAATTTAGGTTTTTCTTATTAATTAAAGTAAAGAAAAGAAAAAATAAATAGAAGAAAAATAAAAAAAATGTTTGGTCTTGTTTATTTAAAATTGGGCCAATCCTTAAATTGACCCAATTAATTAACCCAAAATCTGTCCAACCCAAGCCCAATCTCCCTACCCAAATACACATTACCCTTTACCCTGCTCCCTACTGCAATTGAGAAACCACAAAAAATCAGATGGATAGACCCTAGAGAACCGAATCCGCCGCTAGAACACAAGAAACCCCCCCTGTTCATCTTCTTCGAGAACAAAAACAAGACTCCCATGATTTTTCTCTTAAAAAAAAACGCACACACAGAGACGGGAAATAAAGGGATGACGAGAGGGAGAGATTAGTGAAGAAATGTTCTAAGCTTTGAGAGTTTATCTTCTTTGTTGGCTGGTGATTACATTCCAAAATCCAAAAACAAAAAGAAAAAGAAAGAAAAGATCTACATATATAGAAAAAGAGTATCTCTGTTTCTGCTTTCAATTTGGTTTCATCTAGTGGAGTACGCGTGAGCCATTCTTCTTGAAGCTGTCGGTTAAAGTTTCCGGTTCGGAGTTTCAACATTTGGTCGAGTTTCTTTTTCTAATTTGACTGCTGTCGCTACTGGTTTTGCTGAGCCGCTGCTGATTTTCGATTCTCAACTTAGCCTCATTTCAGCTGTCTTTTCCTTAAACTTATCTAGAAAAATTAGGTATGTGACTATACTTTTGAGTTTTGTTAAGATATTAATCGAAAATCTGGGTTACATATTAGTTTGTGTTTGTTATGAATATTCATGCCTTTTCTTGTTTGAGTATAAAACAGAGTACCGAAAATAGCTGGTTGGTTAAGTAGCGCAAGATTTTAGTAATTGAAGTGTGAAATTGGGCTGTTAGTTTATGAATAGGAAGAAACGATAAAAATTTTCCTTAGTTTCATGGTTATTTTTCCAGTTGCTGTTCATAATAATACTTACCATGGATTAGCTTGCTAANCCCGTTAGGACCGCGGGCCCGGTCCGGTCCGGTTCAGGCCCGGCCCACCGAGCAGCATTACTAAAAACTAACCAAATGTGCTTTAGTTTCGTTATAATAATTTTTCCTTTAGTTTCGTCATCATTAACTTGCTGTTTATAATAATCTTTTCCTTTAGTGTCGTTACTTGTAGGTTGTTATTTTGCATTTTGTTCTTCCTGTTTGGATCGTTGATATCTAATTATTTGTCTTAATGAGTGTGCTTGTACATATTCTGAGAGATTTTAATAATTTTTAATTTGTTTTAATAGGTGCTTATACATGTTCTGAAAGATTATAGTAATTTTAATTCCTCAAAAATGCTCTTTTCATCAAATAAGTTCAATCCATAACTCGTGGCCCTCATGTAGTGATTTTTAATCCCTTAGAAATCAGGGTGTGCTTTAGTTGAATTTCCATGGCCCTCGTAGACTTGAAAGTGCGTAGTTGCTTTAGGCGCGATATTTAAATTAATTTCCTTAAACACGGGTGTGCATATATGGGACCCAAATCCAAATCTCAACAATGTTACATAAAATGTGTTGCGGACTGCGGGTGCATTTATGTGACGTGGTTCAAAACATGCTTTATGTGACGTTGAATCTTCCTAAAATATTAAATAAAAGCGGTTATAAAGTTAAAATTAAACCATAGGCTAAAACATGTATTAAAATCAGATAATAGGCCAATTATAACAGTTGAGCGCCCGTGCTAGAACCACGGAACTCGGGAATGCCTAACACCTTCTCCCGGGTTAACAGAATTCCTTACCCGGATTTCTGTGTTCGCGGACTGTAATATAGAGTCAATCTTTTCCTCGATTCGGGATTTGAACCGGTGACTTGGGACACCATAAAATTATCCCAAGTGGCGACTCTGAATTTTTTTAATAAAATGATCCCGTGTCGATTGTCACTTAAATTGGAAAAAACTCCCCTATATGCCTCTTTACGAGGGTGTAGGTAAAAAGGAGGTGTGACATTTAGTACTCCATTGAAGTTGCAAATTGAACTAATAAAACTTGCCTGTATATTATTAGTGTACCCTTTTTCCTTGACTAGAATTTTTTCCCACAGGGTTTTTCCTAGTAAGGTTTTAACGAGGCACATAATAATGAACATCCAAAGGGAAGTGCAATGAAAATATTATTGTGGATGTCCATTTATTACTCCGCTGTAGATAATTTTCCTGAAGAAGATTATCCATTTAGTACTCCATTGAAGTTTTCTACAAGCAGTTGATGCAAACTAGTTGCAAGGAACTCAATGAAATGACTTGTAGCAGCTTCTTGGTTTGATTAGATTAATTTAAATCGATTTGAAATAGTGGTGGATAATATTCTCTACAAACTCAACTTTTTGAGAAGATGGTATACAAGATTGGAATGCTGAGATTCAAATATTATAAACAAGGTTTTCATCATGGGGAGTAAAATATGCGATGCACTCTTTTTTTTTCCTTACTAAGTTTTTTTCCTACAGGGTTTTCCTTATAAGGTTTTTAATGAGGCACCTAGCAATGCGTATTACTAAATATGTGTACTCTTTTTCCTTCACTAGAATTTTTTCCCACGGGGTTTTTCCTAGTAAGGTTTTAATGAGGCACATTATCTTTTAATGAACATCCAAGGGGGATTGTTATAAATATATATTATATTATGGATGTGCATTTAGTACTCCGTTGTAAATAAGCTTCCTGAAGAAGCTTATCGATATGGGACTACGCCGTAAATATGGTTATCTATTCAGTACTCTATTAGAAATAAGCTTCCTGAAGAAGTTTATCGTTTCGGTACTCCGTTATGGATAAATATTACCCCGGCAGAAGATTATCTATATCTGGTACAGTATCAGCTTACAAGAAGCTTACACAGCAGCTTACACAACAGCTTCCTTTCTTCTATAAATAGAGGAGATTTCAGTTCATTATGTATATGAATTTGAAGTTGAATAATAAATCTCTCTCTCTACTTGTCTTTGATTTCTTTACTTTTAAAGTCTTTATTTTATAACAATCCTCTTATTATTGGCAATTTTTTTGGGACTTATAAAAAAGTGTTTTCTTGGGGTTGGGGGTGGGTAGGGGAGGTATTATGCCGAAAAAAGGAAAATTACGGGCCAAATCTTATCCGGATTCGGACTACCTATCTATTTAGCTCCATAGCCGGTTCAATTGGTTAGCCTTTTACCCAACCCCGACGTTTCTTTCCCCCCTCGATAAGAAAATCGAAGTTTCCAGAATCCAAGCTCACCGGAGCTTCTTAGGTTCGTATCGTTCTCTGCGCCGCCGTTTCTTCCGCCGTCATCATTAGTTAACTTTCAGTACCGGTACAGTTGCTTTTGCGGTATTTTTTTGTCATTCAAAAGTGTCCTTTTTTGGTACTAATTTACATCTTCTATATTATGAAGAAATACGGCGTAGAAGTATTTGATTAAAGCAGATTTAGCTCATAATATTTGTTCGCTGAAGGAAGAATAGTGCTGTAGGAAGTTAATTTAAATATTCTGAAATATGGAAATAATAATTTATTTGCTGCATTTTCATTTTGTCTCTGGATTTTGATAAACTATGCTCATGGTTTATTGTCGAGGAGGCGAAGTTAGCGCCTGCGTTATGTGCTGCCAAGTCTCTGGGTAATTTGGTTTATGAGGTTAGGCATGATTATGATACTGTTAAGTGTAAAACCTATAGAAACCCTAATAGTGTTGGAATGAAACAAACCGAAATAATCGAGATGAGTATAGAGGATTCATATGGCCAAACCCTAAGAATCAAGTATGTTGTGTAAAGATGGCTAGAGAGGAGACGGGAGAGGTAGCAAGGACTGAGGCAGCCACACCAGCTAATTTGGGATGGTGGCATAGTTGTTATGTTGTTGAATTAATTGACCCTCTAAGGGAGCCGAAAGCTAGGCAAGCTTGGTGTGACTTGACTTAGCTATACCATGCTCAAGAGTAATTGACCCTAATATCTTGCTGCTCAATCTTGTCTTAATAGGTGGATGAGGAAGTTTATGCATTAGCAACTTAGTTTTTTTATATTGGACTAGCATATTTTATCCAAAATAAAAATAATATGCATCTTCCAAGTCAATCCAAAAAGCTCTAAGCTACGCTAAAATCATTGAGGTAGGAGCCACACTTTTGAATTAAGGGAAACCAATGCAATCAAATTCTCTACTCTTCATCAAAAAGTAAAAAAAAAACAATCCTAGATCTGTTACAAGTTTCAGATGAAATACTAAATCCAAAAGCCGTGTGTTCTAAGTACAGAATAGCCGTTCCAAAAGGAAATGCGTTCTTAGATAAAAGCTAAAGTGAGAAACTTGTAACAGATCATGGATGAGATTGGTGAGGAGATTGGTGATGATGGGAGGAGAGAAACTAGTAAGAGGTTGAAGTTGAAAATATAGGTTGTTTTATAGATTATATTTGCAAGGCTTAAAAATTTAATTAAGAGAAGAGAAGTAGAAAGGGTCTCTAAGCTTGTAAGCCTTTTAACCTGGTTTTGTTTTCCTGAGCCGAGCTCTAGCAGAGCATAAGTGTGATCCAACGCTAAACCTTGATATCCGCTCTGCATTTGATTCGTCTTAGTTACAAAAACTGAAGTTTCCTTGTTGACTATCTGAATCTTGCCTTCAATCAGATAGTTTAACGTGAACTGTCTCGAAACTATAACCAGGCATGTAGCAAACCTATATATCTGTGTCATTGCTAGGTTGTTAGGTTGATCTACACACAACTTTCTTATTGTGACATGTAACTTGTGGTAATGGTGCTACCACAACTTTCTTATTATAACCTGTTACCATATAGTGATGCTAATTTGTGGAGAGATCTAAAAAGTAAAGGACATCATTATACTTTTATGAAGCATGTAAAATTATCTGATTATCAACTGTGCCTTAGAATGTCAGTACAAGCAAAACTTTTATCTCTAATTTGCCTCGTTGCTGTGTTAATTAGGATGCTGATGACTTGCAGTTCACAGATTTTCTTCTTTATACTCCCCTTTAGCCCATGCCTTTGCTTTGTCTATTTGATAACGAGGGAAAGAAACAAAGGAAAAAAATGAAATGGATGTCAGGCGAGCACATATCCATTGCTTCTGCCATGTCAGCGGAAATCATTATCACTTCTCTCTTCTTTCTCGTTGAGAACAAGTTTCTGTTCAACTGTAATTGCTTGATTTGTAACCAAGAAAGCATGGATGGTCTTGAAATTTAACCATGAAATACTGAGAATCCGAAAGCGTGTCCATGTAATTTTACTAGATTATGTATTGAGTAGTGTATCATGATCACATAAGAATATCAGTTTGGCTTTTGTGGCCAATTGATGCTTTGGAACTCATTACCCAAGCATCTTCTATCATTTACCATAATTGTTGTTGGTAATGTTTCTCTGACTGCTCAATCCTCGTTAATAAAGTCAAAAATTAAGATACATTTGTCAGTATGTTTTACATTTACATTGATTTGCTGCAGTTAAGGTCATGCCTAAAGTAAAAACAAACCGTGTCAAATATCCAGAGGGATGGGAGCTGATTGAACCTACTCTTAGTGAGTTACAAGCAAAAATGAGGGAAGGTATTGTTACTTCAGTTAATAAGAGTATAAGACTACTTTAGCATTCGTTGTTTCCTATGTAGGCAAAATGATTTTCATCTCCTAATTTATTGTGGAACTTTAATGTTGGTTTGACTGTTTTGTACAGCTGAGAATGATCCTCATGATGGCAAAAGAAAATGTGAGGCTTTGTGGCCTATTTTCAAAATTGCCCACCAGAAGAGCCGGTATATTTTTGATCTCTATCACAGGAGGAAGGAGATCTCCAAGGAATTATATGAGTTCTGCCTAGATCAAGGATATGCGGATAAAAATTTGATTGCGAAATGGAAAAAGGTATGTTCACCCTCCTTGCTTCAGTTTGTGTGCCACCTTTGCTTTTTAAGTGCACTTTCATGAAGCCGTGAACTATCCCTTTTTTCATTTGTGGGGAACTCTTATTCATGAACTGTAACACATGCCAATGCATATTTCTCTTTTTTCTTTATGTATTTCTGTTTTGACTTTTGTTTAGTACTTTGG